TAACACCAAAAGGAAATAAAGATACAACAAGAAAAGAAAACTACAGGCCGATATCCCTGATGAACACAGATGCGAAGATAGGGGCTGGAGCAATAGCACAGCGGTAGGGCATTAGCCTTGCATGCAGCCAACATGGCCGCCCGAGTTCGATTCCTCTGCCCCTCTCAAAAAGCCTGGCTAGCTACCAAGAGTATCTCGCCCGTACAACAGAGCCTGGCAAGCTACCTGTGATGTATTCAATATGCCAAACACAGTAACAACAAAAGTCTCTAATGGAGACGTTACTGGGCCCACTCGAGCTCAAGATTCCTTGGATACTACTCACCAACAAAATACTAGCAAATGGAATTCAACAACTCATCAAAAAGATCATACATCATGACCAAGTGGGATGCATCCCAGATGAATGATAGCAAGGATGGTTTAACATTTGGAAATCAATCAACATAATCCATCATATCAACAAAAGAAAAGATAAAAATCATATGATAATATCAATAGATGCAGAGAAACCATTTTACAAGATCCAGCACCCGTTTATGATGAAAACCCTCACGAAAATAGGGATAGAGGGGACTTTCCTAAATATAGTTAAAGCCATCTACCACAAGCCTACAGCAAGCATCATCCTCAATGGGGAAAAACTGAGGATGAGATCAGGGACAAGACAAGGATGCCAACTCTCTCCACTACTGTTCAATATAGTACTGGAAGTACTTGCAGTAGCTATTAGGCAAGAAAAAAGATATTAAGGGCATCCAGGTAGAAAAGGAAGAAATCAAGCTCTCACTATTTGCAGATGATATGATTCTATACTTAGAGAACCCTAAAACCCTTACCAAGAAACTCCTAGAAACAATAGACTTGTAAAGTAAGGTTGCAGGCTATAAAATCAAGACCCAAAAGTCCATAGCTTTCCTATACGTAAATAGTGAGAGAGAAGAAAGTAACATTAAAAAAAAACAATCCAGTTCACAATTGTGCCCCAGAAAATCAACTACCTAGGAATTAGCTTAACTAAGAAAGTAAAGGATCTGTACAAAGAAAACTAGAAAACACTACTTCAGGAAATAAAAGAGGACACGAGGAAATGGAAAAATATCCCCTGTTCATGGATCGGGAAAATTAACATTGTCAAAATGGCAATACTTCCCAAAGCACTGTACAAATTCAATACTATCCCTATTACAATACTCATGACAATCTTCAAATAAATGGAGCAAACACTCCTGAAATTTATATGGAACAATAAGCCCCCAGGAATAGGTAAAGCAATTCTTGGGAAAAAGAAAATGGGAGGAATCAACCTCCCTAACTTCAAACTGTACTACAAGGCAGTAATAATTAAAACAGCATGGTACTGGAACAAAGACAAGAGCTGCAGACCAATGAAACAGGACTGAATATACTGACATCTCCCCCCAGCATATGATCATCTAATCTTTGATAAGAAGGCAAGAAAAGTGAAGTGGAGCAAAGAAAGCCTCTTTAACAAATTGTGCTGGCAAAACTGGATGGCTACATACAAAATAGTGGGCTCAGATCTCTGCCTAACAACACATACAAAAGTAAGATCAAAATGGATTAAAGACCTCAAAATTGGACCAGAATCCATAAGGTACATTGAAGACAAATTTGGCAAAACCCTCCATGACATTGAAGCTAATGGTATCTTCAAAGATGTCATGCCACTGGCCAAGCAAGTGAAAACAGAGATAGACAAATGGGACTATCTTAAACTAAGAAGCTTCTGCACCTCAAAAGAAACAGTGACCAAAATACAAAGACAGTCTACAGAATGGGAAAGGATATTCACTGAATACACATCTGACAAGGGGTTGATATCAAGGATATACAAAATACTGGTTGAACTCTACAAGAAGAAAACAACCAACCCCATCAAAAAGTGGGGAGACAAAATGAACAGAAACTTTCTCAAAGAAGAAATCCAAATGGCTAAAAGGCACATGAGAAAATGCTCTACATCATTAATCATCAGGGAGATGCAGATCAAAACAACAATGAGATATCATTTCACACCACAGAGACTGGTCCATGTCCACAAGAACAAAAGCAACCAGTGTTGGCGTGGATGTGGCGAGAAAGGGACCCTCCTTCACTGCTGGTGGGAATGCCGACTAGTTCAGCCCTTTTGGAAAACAGTATGGCCGATTCTCAAAAAATTAGAAATTGAGCTCCCATTTGACCCAGCAATACCACTCCTGGGAATATATCCCAGAGAGGCAAAAATGTATAGTCGAAGTGATATCTGCACTTGTTTGTTCATTGCAGCACTCTTTACAATAGCCAGAATCTGGAAAAAACCTGAGTGCCCGTGAACAGATGACTGGTTAAAGAAACTTCGGTACATTTACACAATGGAGTACTATGTAGCTGTTAGAAAGGATGAAGTCATGAAATTTACATACAAATGGTAGTACATGGAAAGTATCATGCTAAGCTATGTGAAATGAGTCAGAAAGAAAGGAACAGACACAGAAAGATTGCATTCATCTGGGGAACATAAAGCAACAAAATAGGATACTAATACCCAAGAATAGCCGAGATAAATACCAGGAGGTTTACTCCATGACTCGGAGGCCAACCACACACTCTAGGGGGAAAAGGCAGCTCAGATAGAGAAGGGAGCACCAAATAAAGGGTGTTGGGAAGATCTGCCCAGGATGGGAGATGCATGCTGAAAGTAGACTATAGACCGAACATGATTGCCATTCAATTTCTCTTTTGCAAACCACAGCACCCAAAAGGAGATATAAAACAAAAGGGAATTCCCTGCCACAAAGGCAGGGTGGGATGGGGGGTTGGGGGGTGGGAGGAATACTGTGATTAGTGGTGGTGGAGAATGGGCACTGGTGGAGGGATGGGTACTCGATCATTGTATAACTGAAACCCAAGCACAAAAATTTGTAAGTCTACAACTGTACCTCATGGTGTTTCACTAATAAAATTTTTTTAAAAATTTGATAAAAAAGGAACTAATAAAAAGACATATGTTTATTATTATTTCAAGAAAATAATCTTACCTACCTGGAAAACCCAACAGTACTGATTGACAACTGTGATAACAGTGTTAATAATTGTGTAATAAAGAAATTTAATGAAGAGTTGTATCAAGGTAAAAAATAGACAAAATCGTATTTTCCAATACTCTAACAACAAGCAGTTAGACATATAATTTTTAAAATCCCATTTCCATGGCCAGGGAAAACTGGGGCTAGGAGGACTGGTCAATGGTTGGAACTAACCACAGGTGTGTGGGGGGCTGAGGTTAGGTAAGATATAGAAGAGACCAGTATGACAATAATAGCTGGAAATTATCATATTCGAAAAGATCTGAGGGTTAAAAGTAGGTAAGGGATATTCTTGATAACCTTTCAGTATCAATATTGCAAACCATAATGCCCAAAAGGAGAGAGAGAGAGAGAGAAAGAGAGAGAGAGAGAGAGAGAGAGAAGTGCCTGCCACAGAGGCAGGCAGGGGGTGGGGGTGGGGGTGGTGGGAGGGAATCTGGGGACACTAGGAAATGTACACTGGTTGAGGGATGGGTGTTGGAATACTGCACGACTGAAATCCAATCATGAACAGCTTTGCAATGGTCTATCTTACAATGTTTCAATAAAAAAACTTTTTAAAATACTATCTTAATAGAAAAGAAGGCTACAAAATATTGAGGAACAAGTATAGTAAGAATAGAACAACATAAAGCTAAAACAACCAAAATAACTCCTTTGAGTGACATAAAAGAATACAACAGTGGAAATTCAGAAAATAAGTATCCAGTGCTACTTAAAACTTCATAGATGTCCATTTAATGGAATGACATCTAACCATATTTTTAGAGAATGCAAAACTGTGGGGAAATATTCACAGAAGACTTAGGTGAAAGGGAAGTTTATTTTAGAACACAATATGATTCCAACATTGTAAAATAGAAATATCTGCCCATGTGCACAAGAGAGCTAAAAACCAAGGCATGACAAAATTTTTATTATTTTTTGTTGATTTTTTGTTTTGTTTTATTTTGGGGACCACATCCAGTGGTGCTCAGGACTTACTTCTGGCTCTGTGCTCAGGAATCACTCCTGGAAGGCTTGAGGACCATATGGGATGCCAGGAAGCTAACCTAGGTTGGTCACATATAAGGCAAATACTCTACCCACATTAATATATTTAAAGAGCTTATCACAAGCTAATAAGAAAGCAGGGGCTTTTAACTTTGTGCCTGAATTTTCTGTTCTTTTAATTTTCTCTATTTTTCAATAATGGCTAAATGACAAAATTAAGAATCTGTATTGTCTCCCTTAGAAACCCATAGTGAAATTTTTTCAGGTAAGCAATGAACGGCAATGAAGCAGTACCTCTCCTAGGCCCATGAACAGGTTCCACTTCAGGCAGAATCTCTCTCTCTGGGAAGGAAACGTGCCCCTCCCCCAAGCAAGTCAGAGGCCCCTCTTGGACCCTCAGCATGGGAATTTCTGCAAGATGTAAGACACTAAATACCAAAGTCATCTACACTGTCCTTCACCATCTAAAATGGCATCCAGAGAATCAGCCTGGACAGACAGAAAGGAACACTGTGGAGGATGGTACACACCTCAGAACCCTGGGGGGTCCTCAGGCATAACCCCTCCATGTCTCTGGAAGGGGCAGAGGAAGTCCACCTGCCACTGGACATTCAAGCTTCTTGGGTCCCATGTCCCACAAGCGACTCCCACTGACGGATGCAACCCCAGCTCTACAGTTTTGCCTTTTCTCCCGACCCCCACCACACGCAGGTAACGGGGATTAAAGCAAACAGTAGCATGCACAGAGGTGAAACCTTGATGATTATTTCCCAGACTCCCCCCACTTCTCCATCACTGCATGGTGAGGTTTTCTGCTGGAAAGATTTTTCATCTCCCACATCCTCCCCTTCCTAATGTCCCACACCATAACCCCCAAGGGACCAAGGAACCCACAAATAGGTGAGCAATACATACATGAGGACTGGATGGAGGAGATGCCGTGTTAGTGGGGACTGAGCCCGACAGACCATCTGCAAGCTACAAATTAAACATTCTCGTTAGCAACAAGCACAACTAGTAGCAACTCCACCCTTTAGGGAAAACCAGGCAGACGGACGCAAGGAAGCAGAGACCACCACCACACGCCTTCAGCTCTCTCCCCAGGGAAGCTGCAAGGGGAGATAAGTACTTGGAGTTGAACAAGACCGGTTCCCATTCCTGGCCCCAAGGCCTGAAAGGTGGCCAGCCACTGAGCAGTCTGCATCACCATCCCTGACCAGGTAAAGGGCACAAGTAGGATGAGATGAAAACCCAGAACCCTACAAGTAAGGGCTCAGCCACACTCATCTCACTGTCCTTGGCAGGAAGATGAGCTCTTGCATGTTGTCCTTGCCCTTACACCTGCCCATAGGGGACATCCTCTGTGTTCATCTCCTAACATCTCAGCCAGCCCCACCCTGCTGGCTGCCTGAGCTCCTCGGGTCTGAATTCTCCCTCCGCAGGCGGTCCCTGGCTTTCGCCAACCCCTGGAGAAGAGCGGCCTGAAGAGCCTTCCGATTCAACATCCAGAAAGCTTGCTGCACCCTTCTCTGTTCTCAGATCCATGCCAACAAATCTTCCAGGGCCATGAAGCTGGTGCTTCCCAGAAGCCAGCAAATCCCTGGGCTGCAAGGCAGACAGGGGCACGAGCCAGAGAGCATGACTGTCTAGCAGGGTGGAAGGCCAGAAGCAGGTTCCAGGCACAGGAGCAAGCCAGGTCTAGGCAGAGGATGAGCAGAAAGAGAGAGACCAAGAGCACTGTACCTTCGAGGAAGGACATGGCTCAGGAAAGGATGCTGGGACTGGGAAATAGGGCTGGAGAGTTGAGGCTCTAGGTCTAGAGGGGTCTCGCTACTTCACTGGGGGCCATGTCCCAGGAAATCTCCACCCTTGACAGGAAGACCTGGGGACATACTCCAGGGAGGATACACCACAGAAGGGGGCCCTGAGTCTCCCCAACTTGTCCAAGTCTCAGAGCAGAGACATGGGAAGGAGGACAAGGTGCAATGCTGATGGGTACCCAGCCAGAACACCGCATGGTTGTGGGGGGGGCTACTCACGTGTCCGGCAAAGTGGTGGTCCCTGGAACAGACCTGATGCATACCCTGTGGAACCCCAGGTGTCCCTGAGACCCCCCACCGCTGAGAGTAACTGTTTCCCCTTCCATTCTCAACCTGAGCCTCACAGAAACCTTACTGCTATTTTAAATCCAGACCATTTTTAGAAAGGTGAGAGGGAAACCGGCAGTTCACCAGAGCAAAAAAATAGAGAAAATAAAGTTAAACACAGTGTGCCGGTGCTCTGGGCCAGCTCCCAAAATTACACGTTCCCCTTTGGGATTCAGCATGATTTGCCCCTCCGCTCTTGGAGTACATGCCCACCTTCAGCACATTCCAGAGACTCTCCGAGAAGAGGACTCAGAATTAGCTCTAGAGGAGCAGCCCACTCCAGTAACCACCCAGCCCCCAGAGTACGAACCCAGGTCTGTCTCCTTGCCAGTCACCTGCTTTCCTCCATAACCCCCACCACACACACAATGCCAACACATGCAATCAGTACATCAGCACCATATACATATGACCCATACACACCAGTGTCTATTTTCAACACACACACACACACACACACACGTACCACTCACACACATACACTACCAACACACAATCAATGCATTTTATCAACACACACATCAACATCACACATTCATACTACTGACACACACAATGCACATTTCAACACACATGTCAGTGATGACTCCCCTGCACATATAAATTCTGTCCAGAGTTTCAGAGTAGAAACTTTTCAAATCTTGGTCTGCTCTCTCTCTCTCTCTGTCTCTCTCTCTGTCTCTCTCTCTGTCTCTCTCTCTCTGTGTTGCTCTCTCTCTCCCTCTCTCTCCCTCTCTCTCCCTCTCCCTCTCTCTCCCTCTCCCTCTCTCTCCCTCTCCCTCTTTCTGTCTCTCTCTCTCTGTCTCTGTCTTTATGTCTCTCTCTCTACCTTTCTCTCTCTATTTGATTTTGGACTCACACCTAGAAGTGCTCAGGGCTTACTCCTGGCTCTGCACTCACGGATCACTCTTGTTGGTGCCTGAGGTACCAAATTGGGTGCTAAGAATCAATCCAAGCTGGCCATGTGCAAGACAAGTGCCCTACAGGCTGTACTATCACTCAGGCCCCATGTTCAGCTTCTCTTTACCTCACCTCAATGCACACATATTTCCCACCCTTAGATTCTCTTTCTCTAGAGAAGACCCCTGGTCAGGTGACATCTTAGGATGACAAGCAAGTGTCAGCTTGGTGACTCTAAGTGAATCTCAATGCTTGAAGTGTGGGACACGTGTGGGATGGCAAGGGATGCCACTTCTACTTTAACCTTCAAAAAAACTCTCTGTAGGAGATGGGGATAGCACGCTCCATGTGTTTCTACACACAATCCTCTTCCCATCTTCCCAACCAGAACACCAAGAACTAGCTTAACAAAAATGCTTCCTAATAAACAAAGACTTCAATTTTGTTAAAGTGGATTAGAGATAGAAACATAGGGTGGGTGGAGGAAAGCACAGAGAGGGCTACAATTGGTCAGTTCACACAGACTGTGTTCTTAGAGGCAAGCACCCTTTGTTAATTATTTTCCTACATTTTCCAAACTTTATATCGTGAACATGTACATGTAATCAAAGAAAAATGAACATTAACCTTTTTTTAAAGCAGAGCACGAGAGGTAATAAAACTTCTGTGCCCATTATCTGAGTTCATGCCCAGAATTACTCTCATAAAAAAAGTCAAGGCGAGGAAGGACTCTTGAACATGGGGCAAGTCCAAAAAGGACTGATCACCATCAAGGGCATCACCATCATTACCTTTGCCACCACTGCCTCAACCACTATCTCCAACATCGCTACCATATTCCCACCACCATCCTCACCATCATTTCCCTACCACCACCATTACTACAACCACACCACCATCTCATTACGACCATCACAACTACTGCCACCATCACCCTCACCATCACCCACCTCACCACTATCACCAGCAGCCCCATCACTACCATATCATTACCAGCACCATCATTACCACCATCACTACCACCACTGTCACCAGCATCAACAGAATCAACCCCAGATATTCCCTCAGGAGCACTAACATACCTCTTTCCCAGCCTCTACTACTTTTACACACTCACTTTCACACTACACACACACACACACACACACACACACCCTCACCATCCCATACCTAGGCAATCACTCCAAATCTACAATAAGGACATACTAAGAGTAAACAGTGGCATTACTCTGTGAGAGCCTCTCTTACTGCAACCCTTGTCACCACGGAGAAGAGTTTGAGACCAGTTACTCTCTTCACCCACTGGGGTGCTAAGTTATGTGTCTGAAGCCCAGCGGGCAGATGTCCCTTTTGTATACACTGAAGATCATCTCCAGAACTGGTCACTATTTAAAAAAAACTGAAACATTTCTAGACACCTGGGAAATGCTCTTCCATGAGTATTAATCCAACAACTCAAACCTCAGGAGCATCAAGGTTGGGTTTTTTGGGGGGTTATTTTTGAGTGGTTGTCCTTCATCTAGTGTTCTGCCAATCCTATTTAGGATGACTTGAGTGAATAGCTTGTAGATGACAGACAACAGGCAGATTGGGTGATAGTTGCCAAGGTTGTGGATGTCTCCCTTCTTGTACAGTAGTACAGTCCTGCTGGTTTTCCACTGGGACGGAACCTTGCATTCAGACAGGTAGCGTGTGAAGAGCTGAGCCAGTGTATTGATGAGTACTGACAGCAGATTCTTCGGGTGTTCGGGTCTGACCTTGTCTGGGCCAGGTGCTGTTCATTTCTTTTTCTTTTATTTGTCTTTTTTTTTTTAGATTTTTATTAGTGAAGCACCATAAGGTACAGTTTTAGATTTACAAATTTTTGTGCTTGGATTTCAGTTATACAATGATCGTTTCTTTACCAACAAAATGGCGTGTAGGATTTCAGAAGAGAGAACGTTGAGAATGACATATCCATCCTGCAGAATTTGGTATGTGGGCAGGTGGACGTGGCTATCGGAGAGATCCGAGCAGAAGTCATGGATAATCTTCTCCATTGCTCTTCTGGAGGATGTGATAGATCCATCAGGACGTCGGAGGGCAGTCATCTTGACCTTGTAGTTGGCAAAGGACAGGCAGGCATTGCAAATGATTTCCACAGCTTCTGTCACACCTACCAGCACTGCCGCTCTTCTCTTTGAGGTCTTCCTTTAACGCTTCTCTGCACTGCTTTGTGAGCTTGGACATTCACTTGCGGTTGCCTGAGGCTTGCGCCAAGCCACGTTGGTGAATAAGCTCAAGAGTTTTGAATACAGGTGTTTTTTTTGTGGCTATATCTCTCTTGGCTGGAGCGATAGCACAGCGGTAGGGCGTTCGCCTTACAAGCAACCAACATGGCCGACCCGAGTTCGATTCCTCCGCCCCTCTCGGAGAGCCCGGCAAGCTACCGAGAATATTCCATATGCCAGACACAGTAACAACAAAGTCTCCAATGGAGACGTTACTGGGCCCGCTCGAGCAAATCGACGATCAATGGGAGGGCCTTTACCTTTTATATCTCTCTTGGAGTTCCTTGCACAATGATGGAGGTGCTGAACCAGTTGATCATATTCCTTGTCAATGTTGTCAATGACAGCATCTTTCCATGTTGCTGCAATAGTGCCAAAGAGCTCCCAGTTGGTGGTCATTCTGGGAGTTCTCTTCTTAAACTTTGCAGCCCTTTCTCTCCGCTCTGTGAAGTAGAATTTTGCACGAAGGAGACGGTGGTCCAATCCCATTTGGAATTTTGGGACAACAGCGACATCAGTCAGGCAAAAACCCAGTGAGCAAGCTGGGTTCTGCAAAAGATTCAGCATGATCGACCATATCCACACAATAACCAAGCTCATTGAGGATTCTCGGGAGTTCAAGATGCTGCTCTGTCTAATGTTCATTGATTTAAAGAAGGCCTTTGATTCTGTTGGAGATGAAAGCAGTCATCAAAGCCCTAGCCAATCAGGGCATTCAAACTCAATGCATCAGGATCCTCCATGAGCTGTATTACGGATTCACTACCAGGATCTCACCATTCTACAAAAAAGTGATCATCCATGTCAAGAGACGGGTTTGGCAGGGTAATATCATTTCACCGAAACTCTTCAGTGCCACCCTCGAAAACGTCATGCAACAACTGGAATGGGAAGGAATGGGAGTGAAGATAGACATTCGGCAACACCACCTCCACTTTGCTGATGACACAGTTCTAATAACACCAAACATTAACCAAGTGGCACAAATCCTGGCCGACTTTGACCTTGAGTGTGGAAAGATCAGACTACAGCTGAATTTCACGAAGACAATGTTTGTGAGAAACAGTCTTGTTTCTGACGTTCCATTTGCTCTCAATGGGACGAACATCTCCGAATGCAACAGTTATGTGTACCTAGGTCTAAAAGTCAACATGACGAATGACCTGGCACCTGAGTTGCGCAGGAGGAAGAGAGTGGCTTAGAACGCCTTCAAGAGAGTCGAAGAAATAGCTAAGAGGACAAAGAACCTCCAGCTCTGGGCACATCTCTTTGATTCCACTGTTCTTCCTGCATTAACATATGCCTCAGAGACCTGGGCCCTACGAAAACAGGATGAGAACGCTATTCGGGTCTCCCAAAGAGGAATCGAAAGAGCTATACTTGGAGTATCATGCTTCACCCAAATGAGTGAAAGAATCTGGAGTTCCGACCTCCGTTGATGGTCAAGAATCAGGAATGCTGTCTCATTTGCCAAGGCCTCAAAAGTCAGATGGTCTGGACACATAATGTGATGTGGAGACGACCGCTGGACTACAGCCATTACTGACTGGATTCCACGGGACTTCAAAAGACCGTGTGGCCGCCCACCTACAAGATGGTCAGACTTCTTTATCAAGACCCTGAATGATTGGTTTGAGGCTGTTTGTGTTCCTTGAATGAGCAGACGCCATTGGGCTACACTAGCATGCAACAGGGATGAATGGAGACGTTACTGGCACCCGCTCGAGCAAACTGATGAGTAACAGGATGTCAAGTGATCAAGTTATTTTTGAGTGCAGTAGGTTCATCCCAGGAACTAGGCAGGTATGGTGAATAGGATTATCAGTAGGCAGAAGGTGCAATAGAGGAAGAAAATGGGAAGGTCCAGACAGAAACCAGATCCAACAGGATGAATATGAAGCCAGGTAGTACTCTCCATATCATCCACGGCATGACCAGGTGGATGTAATAGGCTGCCAAGGAATACAGGTTGTTCCAGGAAAACATGAGGCAGTGACCATCCAAATTCTGCCAGACTTCTTTTCCTCAAATCCTAGTGACCCAGGCCCTTTGTTCTGTTTTCACAGGGGAAGAGGGCAGGACAAGGCCCAGAACATCTGAAAAGTCTCTTGAAAGTAGAATCCACTCCATCCTGGAGCAGCCTTGGAGTGTCTTATCCTACCAAGTGGCAAGGATGTGCACGGGCGACAAGGGAATGAATAAGAGGCATTCTGAGCCAGTCACATCAGAAGTCAGAATGTCAGAAGAAAAACAGGATACAGAATCAATGTTTTACCAAACCTCATCCAGCAAGAGGCCAGAGCTCCCTGAAGACCAGGACTCCCAAACACTGTGGTTCCTCCAGATCAGGGCTGTGTCTCTCCGTCAGACAGAGGCCTGGATGAGGGCAGGGCCCAAGTCTCTTCAATCAGAGCAAACTCCTCACTACTTCCATTTCCCTGCCCAACATGGGCCTTCCCCTCCCTCCATGGTCACTTTCAGGAGCCCAGACACCAGCTCCCCACCCTTCACCTGGCCAGCAACTCCAATCAGAGTGGCACTGTGACTCCACAGAGAGCCTCAGGGTGTGGATAAGACCCTGCCCTTCACTGCAAGTCTCAGACAAGCCCACTGAAGGGCAAGAAATGGGGCCAGCACTGGATACCTGCACTGAGGGCTAACCATCTGCAAACACCCACCTATGCCACAATGCACCAACACTGAGTGTAGCTGGATCCTCTGTAGAAGCACCTGAATTGACAGTTGGGTTTTCCCAAGAAAATCAACCACCACTCAGAGAGTGAGTAGGGAATTCTTGAATTCATCCTCACATCCAACCAACCACCCAGCCACCCATCTGCCTATCCATTCATCTACCCACATAGTCATCCGCCAACCAGCCCCACATCCACTTACCCATTAATCCATTTATCTATTTATTCACCCACTCACCTATCACGCCATCTACCTTCCCATTCATCACCCATCCACTTATCCACCCACACATCCACACTTCTACCTACGCATTCATCCACACATCTACTTACTCACCGGCCACCCAACCACCCTACAACTCACCAATCCATGTACCTACCAGTCACCTACCAATCCTTCTACCCATCTACCCCCTCATCATCATCCCAGCATATATCCACCCTCTCATCCAATCACCCATCCATCCAGGCAGACTTTACTGCACCACCTCCTCTAGGCAGGCTCTGCACTGGACATTGGGGACACAAAGAGAATGTGTCCCAGTCACTGGCCTGGACCTTGTGTCAGGAAGATGTTGCCATTTAGAGACCAGCAGGGGTAAGGGCAATGACCAAGCCACAGAGACAATTGGCAGGAGAAAGGAAAGTGCAAAGGAGGAATCCTGAAAGGAGGTAAGCATGCCTCAGCTGAGTGCAACGAATGAAGAGGAGGTATCCCCAAGCAGAAAGAGAGGGGAGCCCTGGAGAGATATAAGAGAGGGAGAAATGAGCACCTGAGACTTCAGAGAACTCTAAGCATCAGTGAGGCATTCGAGCAAGACCTCCTGTCCTGGCAGCATGGAGCAGAAGTGGCAGAAAAGAATGAATGAGAGGAGAGCAGGAGAAAGCAGACCTCCTTCCGATAACTTTGTGTATCCAGAATATAAGCCAGCACCTGTGTTTGTCCTCGCTTCTCAAGGCTAATTTTTGACCAGTGATTTAAAGAACATACAACCCTTTCTGAGAATCACCCCATCCCTGGGGATGCAGATGCGTAGCCCAAGGACACACAATAGTCTTCCGGGCCACCTGGATACTCTAAGGAATCGTAGACGATGGGCAGGGAGTTGGTGGTGGCATGACCAGCTTCATGCACAGCTAAGGAGAGGGTGATAATCTCAAGCAGAGGACAGCAAGGACAGACAGCAGGTCACAACTGCTATCACAAGGGAACTCTTCTCCAGAATTATAGGGGATCGCACGCAGACCTGCAGGACCCAAAGCCCACCCTAGTGCCCCTGGGTGGACAGACTTCTCTCCCACAACCCTAAGAGACGTCTCTTATGGACCTTAATAATAGGTTTCTCTTGCTCCTGTCCCTTCCTTTTCCTGGAGATTGAGGGAATGAGTTAAGAGGCTGTAACAGATGGGGGTTGGGATAGGGATGGGGGATGGGAGTGTGAGGTCCCAGACCTCTCCTTCTAGCTCTAAGAAGTTACAAAGCATAAGCCCAGAGAGGATTCTGCCCCCTGGGAGAGTCCTGATGGTTAGAGTGTCAGCGGGTGGGGTACCCCAAGACTTCCCAGACACTCCCTTCCCCATTTTTCTTTTCTCTCATTTGTCCCCACCCTCAGCACAGTCCTCAGGGTAGAGAGGCATGTTCTCAGGCACTTTGGGGAGAATAATCAGGTCTGATGCAAAAACCTCAGTGAAGGCTCTGGCCCATATTCCTGTCCCCACACAGCATCCAGGCTCCAGGGACAGAGTGCAGTGGCTGAGGCGTGGGGGAGGTGAGGAAGGAAGGGGTGTCAAGGGGGTCTCCCGGGGCCACCCAGGGCCCAGTCTACCTGCAGGGGGATGAGGGGCTCCTTGTCATCAATGTCGATGAGCACATCTTCCCCGGGACTGAGCAAGCTCACATCATCTGTGGGTGACAGCAAGGATGCCGGGCTAAGGGGTGGGGACCCTCCAGGGACCAAAAACTCAGAGAAGGAGACAACCAACCACCCCTGCTACCGTGTGCTGACACTCCTCCACCTGCATCTCTGCCTGTGAGCCCATGTTCTCTCCCATCTTCCTACCAGCCCCTCACTCCCCACCATCCTCTCCTCCCTCACCATCCCTTTGAACCCCTGCATCTCTCTCCCCCACCCTGCCTCCAGCCCCCTCAGCCCTCACCTCTCAATGAGGTGAGCTCAGCCTGAGGTGGAGGGTGAGAGTCCCGGCCCCCCAGATCCAGCTGAGCAGAAACCACTCAGGGTGTTCCTCGATGGGCAAGTCCTACCTGGGCCGCCCTGCGGGGAGGGGCTCTGCTCTGAGTGGGGGTCACACAGGAAACTCTCCAGGCAGCGGATGGTGCACTGGCCCACTACAGGCCGGCGGCCAAACTGGCGGTTGTCAATGACCTTGACCACGATGGGGGGGCAGTACAGCTCCTCCCGGGGCAGCATCTAAGTGGTAGAGGGGGTGCAGGGTGAGGGAAGAGGCCTTAACCCGGCTCTGGGAGGGTCCGCACTCAAGGACAAGCCCCCAGGAGCAGAGAACGACTCTAACCCCCCCTCCAGAACCCCCAACAGCCATCAGTGCCAAACGGCGGTTGGCTGAGACCAGGGAGCAGAAGCCATACAAGTCTTCTGTTTGCTTCTAGAATGTTGAACACCACATTAGCTCCCCAACCCAGGCAGCTCCGTGCAGAGTGAAAGCGCGTCTGCGTTCCCTGAACCCTGGCTGGCTGCAGTGGGGCGCGGGGAGGACTTGGCCCCGGCCCTAACATTTCTTGCAGACAGTCCCCCCCAAGTGGATACTCAAGAGTTGGCTTACAAACCCAGATTCTTCTCCTCCCCGCCCCCCACCCACCCCAAAAGCACTTTGAACACAACTTGAAATAATTTATAAGCTCTCTGTCGGTGGCGGCCGCGCCTCAGCCAAGAGGAGGCCTCTGCTGACAGCCACCGGGCCAGGAATTCCTATAGTGCTTTCATCTCGCAAACCCTTTTCCTCTCCTCACACCGTCCTTCCTCCGGCCACTGGGCCACTGGGTCCTGGCAGCCCACCCAGCGGCAGAGGACCAGGCGCTGGAGGCTTTGCGGGGATCCCAGCTGTCTGCGCCCAGCTGGGGAGGAAGCAGATGAGGGAAGGTTTGGAGGAAGAATGGAAAGGCAGAGCCCAGCTGGACACTGAGGGGAGCTCCCTGAGGGGAGAAATTCGCACCCCGGGACATAGGAACGGGACCGCAGGCAGGTCCACTCACCACTTCCATGAAGAGGGTGCAGATGTCAAAGTTGGGGTTCTTCCGGAGGTTCTTGATGACACAGGACTGTACCGTCTGACCCCCACACTCCACCACGAGGCTTGGGGAGGAGACGCTGGCCAGCTGGTAGCTCTTCATGTTCCGAAGGCCCCATGCCAGGATCTAGGAGTGCAGAGTAAAAAGTGGAAAGGCTCCAGGGAGAATCTGGGATGGGCAGGAGAAGCCTCCCCCGATGCCCCACCCCAAAGCCAGGCTCACCTCAATGGCCATCCGCTGGAGAGCCGGCTTGATGTTCTGGGGTACCATGTAGACGTTGGTGTCCCTCTGGGGTGGTGGGTAGGGCAGGTCTGTGTCCTCCGACTGTTGGGGCGAATAGGCAGAAGAGGCAAAGGTGGGAGCAAGACCGAGGCAGAGAGACAGGAGGACCGAGGGACAGAAAGGACAAGTACGAAGAGACAGAAGCAGAAACTGAGTCAGCATCATCTTCCCCAAGAATCCACACAAACACCTACACGCCAAGCCCAGGTGCCTCAGTCCCTCTCCTCCTCTAATGTAGGATAACATGTCCATGAGCTGCTCGGGTTTCCCCATCTTCCCCCAACACACACACATACTCACACACAACAATTACACACAACTCCCATGCACACACACACACACATCCACACCCACAGACAGAGGCACACACTCATAAACACACAACACATACCATCACACACACCTGTCTATGCACACACCCATAGAGGAACACACTCATAAACACACAACACATAACATCACAGACACCTGCTCAGGCGCGCGTGCGTGTACACACACACACACACACACACACACACACACACACCTATTGACAGGGGCACATACTCATAAACACACACAGCCATGCACCCAGTCACACATTCATGCATACATGCACACACATGCATATGTGCAACACATGCAGTCATACACCAGGCACACCTGCATGCACACACACATACACACACACACACACACACACTGTCCACTCCTTCTGCATCCATGTCAGCCCCTTTCATTAGTCCAGTTCTCCTGGCTCAGACCCTCCAGGGTTTCATCCCCACCGTCCACAATCACACCCAGTCACCCTCTGGCCCCACCTTTCACTCCTGTCCACTTGGAAGACGGATGGCTCCCCGAGGGTGGGGGGCAGAAAGGGTATGGGAGGATAGTGGACAAATGCTCTCATTCACAGGGACCAGGGACGCTGGGAGGGGGCGTGGGGTGTGTTTCTTCACCCCTAAAGACCCAAGATGAGAGGGATTGAAGGAGCTCTGGTCTGCCAAGGGTTTGCCAAAGACAAGGGCAAGAGTTCCCATGGTGGGTGATCACCCTCCCAAAGTGGGTGACAATGTCTTCCAGAGGTGCTGGGATGTTTCCGGGGAGCAATATGAGCCTCCGGTGAATTGCAGGATTCTACTATTTGCTCATTTAAAGAAGGTAGATTTGAGGGGGGCAGGGCTGTCATTCTTTTTTTTTTTTCCTGAAAGGGAAAGTAGGTCAAATAAGTTTCTCCAGATCACGAAGAGCTGCAATGAGAAGGAGGTGTGGAAGGGACACAGGCAGTGCCGTAAATCGGGTGAGACCCCAAAACAAATCCACAAAAGAATGGCGTGTCCGTTCATAGGTGCTGGCACGGACGGGAAGAGCAGCCAGAGCCAAGACCACACCAGGACCCACACTGGCTCATCCACACTGGTCTGGGACCCTCCCACTAAGCTCAGCTGTCACTGGTCGCATGCCTGTGATGCCGCACATCCCAGAAGCTCGTTTCTGGAACGCCAACCCTGGGTCCTCATCCCCACCTGCCTTCTCACTAGGTGAACTTGGGCAAATGACTCGACCCCTGAGAGTCGGTACCCCAGGAAGCTCTGGGATCACAACCCCTCAGAAGCTGAGGAGACCATGACAACAAAGAGTGTCCAGGAGATGTAGAGCACACAGATGTAGAGCAGAGGCCCATGAATGGGGCAGGCTCTCATGCCTTTGCTCTATACCCTGCTGTGTGCAGTCTCCAATCAGGGAACCTCTCAGAGACACTCAGACTTCACAGCCACCCTCTGCCTGTCGCTGGGGCACAATGCAGATGACATGGCATAGCAACTGCCCCATCTTTAGATTTACCCAGAGACAGATGCCATCAGAAGAGCCACAGGAAGAGGGCCCCGGGCATTTCCAGGAAGTATTGTTCCTCATCACTCTCGAGAATGGGGCCTAAGGGTCGAAGCTGGCACCTGCTGTGGGAACCCGGGCATGGTGCCGCCCTTGACACACTCAGGGCACCACCACAATGGCCATGAATCAGACCATCCTCTTTAGAGCAGGGGATGTAGCCCCAGGCCTGGAGGTGTAAGCCCAGGGTCGAAAGCCAAAGGCAGCCAAGAAGAAAATAGATGCAGAGAGGAGACAGGGGAAGGAATGGCCTTGGACTCCTGCGAGAGCTGCAGAAGAGCAAGCCTGCCGACAAGGTTGCCACATTCTCTTGAAGTCACCTAGAGAAAATTCACCAATCTCTTTCCTTCTAGAACATTCTGTAGATGGCCCTTCAACCTGCCTGTTCACTGCCCCCCCTCCCCAACTCAAGGCACTGTTCCTTTGATTCCAGTTCATCCCTGAATTCCTTGTTCCCTCTTTGCTCCCAGGCTCCCCTGAGCACTGCGGGACTGGTGGTGTTCCCCTGAAGAGGACGAGGTTGGGGGGGGGGGGGCAGTACCGTTGGGAGGAGGCCCCGGAGGAAGAAGGCAGGTGCGCACAGCTGCGTAGGCGTGAGGGAAAGAGAAGCAGAAACAGTGGTTAGAGGCTCCATCCACCCCGCTCTGGTCCCCGGGGGTCCGAGCAGTCCTGCTCCCTGCTCCTGCTGCCATCTCCAGAAAGTTGCCCCTACCTGTGCCCCTGATCTGATCTTCTGTACTGTCTTGGGGTTCTGTTCCTCCTCTCTTTATTATTTGTTTTGGTTTGGGGGTCACACCTGGTGGTGCCCAGAGGTTTCTCCGAGCTCTGCGCTCAGGGATCACTCCTGGCAGGTTCAGGGAGATTGTATGAGATGCGGGGGATCGAACCCCAAGTTAGCCATGGGCAAGGCCACGCCCTACCGTGGTACTATCACTCCGGTCCTGAGTTCCTTCCCTCTATAAATTCAGCTTCCCCTCCCGTCCCCTGGAGGGCCCAACAGCCTTCCCCCACCTTCCCAGGCCCCTCTGCTGCTGCCCCGTTCCCTCCTGCCAGAAGCTTCTCTCCAAAGTCAACAAAGACCCGCTGTGGCTCCTCCCTGGGGCCACCCAAAGGGGCGACTCTTTTCCACCCTCTACCCTTCACCTCCTCCCCAAACCATCACCCTTCACTGCCTACCCCTACCCCAGCTCTGCTGGCCGATGTGCCTGGCCCCAGCCGCACTCAACTCTGCACAGCCCCTGTCAGACTCTCTGCACCCAAAACATCTCTTGGAATCCCCAGCCCCTGGGGACTCCCTCCTCCATACACACTCCACCTCTCATACAGGAGATTCTCTCAGGGCTCCTCCTAGCCGGCTCTCTCCCTTCACAGGTCTCACCGCCCTGCACTGCCATACCCCCAAGGACCCCATGACACGGCCCCTTCATCACCATGTCTGAGGGGTCCCCAAGCCCTGATGAGCACGTGCACACTCTTCCCTGTCCACCCCTGGATGGGCAGATGAAGACGCAACGCTTAATGGAGCTGACACCCCGCCCAGCCTTCGGACCATCACCCACACTGCCACGCCTGCACCAGGCAACCTTCGAAGAATGCCATCCTCTGCTTAAGAACCTTCCACATTTCTGACCCACTCGCCATTAAGTTCAAACTCCTTGGCACGGTCTCCCAAGATCCACCCCACCTCCATCCTGAAGAGGTCTCCAGCCTGAACTCCTTCCCTCCAGGCCCCCACACCCGAGGCGTCCCTGTCCCAAACACACCCCTCACTGACCCCCTACAGGCCCCCAGAGGCACCAGGCTCTCCCCTGGTTTTCCTGTGTGACGTGCTCTTCCTCCCACGGCATTGAGCTGCCTCCTCTTTGGCTTCCAGACTCTTTAAGTCCCACAATTGCCCTGAGCCTAACTTAAGAAGCCCCTGCCCCTGCCCCCAGGTGCGCTCAGCAGCTGGACTCACTCTTCTGGCCAACCCTTACCAGTCACTCTGCTCTGGGCTGCATACTGCACACCCACACACAGTGAAGCAGTGGTGTAAAGGGGGGAGGGCTGCAGGGCAGGGAGGAAATGGGGATGGCAGAGGGATGAATGGACGGGTGAACGGGTGGATGAAGAAACCACTCTAGTGGGGCTGATGGGGCCATAGTACAGCAGCTAGGGCACTTGCCAATCTGGGTTCAATGTCTGACACCAGACACAATCCCTCAAGCCACCAAGAGTAATGATGCCGGGGCTGGAGCAATAGTACAGCAGGTAGGGCGTTTGCCTTGCACACATCCAACTGGGTTTGATCCCTGGCATCCCATATGGTCCCCCAAGCACTGCCAGGAGTAATTCCTGAGTGCAGAGCCAGGAGTAACCCCTTTACATCGCTGGGTGTAACCCAAAAAGAAGAAAAAAAAAAGTAATGATGCCTGAGTGTAGAGCCAGGAGTCAGCCCTGGGCACTGCTGAGTGTGGCCCCAAAATCCAAATAACAACAACAACAACAACAACACTAGCATGTTTCGCTCCCTGTTCCCAATGCTCTCACCCACTCGGGCCAGACCTCCGAGTCCTCACCCACCTCTCCCATGTGTGTTTCCTTCACTGTCCCCTGCACCCATCCTTCAGGGACTCATCACGCACAGCATCCTCCAGAAAGCTCTCCAACCTCTCTGGAAACTCCCCGTCACCCCGCTCTCTGGCGCCTTGTTGCTCTAGGTGTCCAGATGGCCCGGTGCCCGGTCCACCAGGTCCCAGCCAGACTCTGACAGCTGGCGCGGGAGAATCCTTCGGCCCTGCCTGGTGTCTGCTGCTCTGCCCAAGTCCCCACATGCCCCTCCAGGACAGCACCTGTCCATGGGCGTGGCAAACACACAATGCCACCATCCTCCAGAGGAGTCACGTGCTACGAGCGAGTCAGACACAGCAGTGTTTGACCGCTGCCTCCTGCCCTGGCCTCCCTGAAAAGTCTAAGTCTGGGGTTCCCAGGTGTGCAGGGGGTGTCCCAAGGCAGCTGAGACCAAGAGGGCCTGGCCCACTGGAGAAGTGGGGCCTGCAACAGCCACCAGGGATTTTCTTTTCCATCCAAAGGGTCCTCGCCCTGACCATGGTTCAAACCAGCATACCAGGTGAGTAAAGGCCTCGTGCCTGTCCCCAGTGACCCACAGGGTAGTCAGGGACCCTCAGGACAGTGCAAGGCCATCTGGGGTAGGTGAGGGGAGCCGCGGGCGGGGCAGTGGCAGGCTGGGAGGGCCCCATCGTCTGCCTGCCCCACCCAGCTTGTTAGGAACCACATGTTGCTCTAATTACACTTCCCAGGAAAAATAGTGTTTTAAATTAAAGCCTTGGGGGAGGGCGAGGGGGATGGGGACCACTGGCTTTATTTGCCTGATTGCAAAACACCAAATTTTTCCTTCGAATGAATTGGGGGGTGCAGAAGAGCCCCCCCCCCCCGCCATGTTCATCTTGGAATAAAAAAAAAGCCTTCTGCCTGGACTTGGAGGGGCAGGTGGACTGGTGCCTGATTGAGCCCCTGTGCCTACTGGGAACGCTGACCAGGGCAGAGAGGAGCACAGCAGAGCCCAGCATCCCAGCCGAGCCCCCCTCCCTCCCTCCTAGAGGGTCCCAGGCGGCTGGGGGAGGGGGAGATGGAGGAAGCCGCCACCCGCTCTCCTGCGCGGTAGGAGCAGTGCGCGTGTGGACGTGGGTGGGGGCTGTTCTCACAGGGTCCACACTCACTCGAGCACGTGCACACTCTCCCGTTCTCAGGAAATCTAAAATTGCTGTTTCTTTGAACTCCTTCCCCTTGGCAACAGGGAGTGCCTTTGTTCTCCAGACAAAAAAGGAAAAGAAACGAGACAGAGGGCTCAGAAGAGGCGGGAGAAGGAGGGAGAGAGCCAGCCGGGGGCCAAGGAGCCAGCAGAGGAAACAGGAAGGGTGCAGGGAGAGCTGGGAAGGCCAGCCAGGCCAGGGGTGCTGCAGGCCATACCCACAGGCAGTGGCTGGGGAGAGACCCCCCCTTCCCCTGCCAACACACACTCACTCTGCTAAAGGCCAGGTCACCAAACTCCAAAAGGCACAACAACATCACAGTCCCCCATCCCCACCCAAGTCTGAGACAGGGTCTCCAAACGGCCTCAAGCCAGAGGGAAAAGTCTTCTTGTGGCCCTCCAAACTGGGCCCTGGAAACCTTCCTCTAGCCCACGACAGTCCCAGCTGGAGCCGTCACCCTTTCTGCCGTCCCAGCTTAGAACACGAGCGTGGTGACCCCTCTCCAGCAAGTCGGGCCTGCCGCAGTCACTCAGCTTGAGCGACAGCTTCTCAGCTATTCGGGGCACTGTCTCCTGCTGGCCAGGACTGGGCTGTCCAGAAGACACTACCCGGAGCAGAGGCCACCCCAAAACCATCATCCAGAGTCACAAAAGCCTCCTTCCTGGTGGCTGTCCCCAGTATCCCCCACAGCCCCACTCCCTGGGACACCGGCACGCCCTCCTGCAGAGTTCTTCACGGGGATCAGACGGGGACCCTTGGAGGGGCTCACTGGAGGACAGCAGGCAATAGCTTGGCCGCGTAGAGACAAGGGAAAGATCCAATCAAGGTGCGCCTCCTTGCAGACCCCTTGCCAGCAGCAGGACTGGCCTTTCTCCCCCAGGGCCCTGGGGATCCCGGAACCAGAGAGACCCAGGCATGAGGGTTTGTTTGCCTTCAAGTGCAGGGAAGAAGCGGCTGAGCTATGAGCCCCAGGGGACAGGGTCCCAAAGCCACCCCCAACTGGCTGACACTCTCCCCTGTCATCACAGAGCTTGAGACCCTATAACTGGGCCCAGTGGCCCCCACAGCCCCAGTCCCAGACTGGCTCTCCTCCCACTGCTGACCCACGCCCTGGGTCCTTGGCCAGCCTGCAGCAGGACACTCAGCCCTCCCGGGGGCCGACCCCAAAGCCACAGCTTTTGATTTGCTTTCTGACAAGGAGACCACAGCCAGTTCCCTGCACTGGCAATCTGAGCCCACACGGTTCTAGACTGCAAATCCGGTGATGAAGGACTTTAACTTTTTTTTTTTTTTTAATAACTCATCCCAGGCTGGGTCTTCTTCAGAGCCGGCTGTGGGTTTTGGCCCCAGTGCGCTCTCAATCAAGACCCAGGGCTCCGTGCTGCTCGCCTGGACGCGGCTCGGCATCCCCTTCCAGATCGGCAGTCTGGAGGCCGCTGCCAGGAGCGGGAGGCTGCCTGTCAGGCGCAATTACAGCCAGCTCATCGGGGCCCCGCCTCGGCCTGCGCTCGGGAGGAAGTGAGGTAAAGGGCACGGGGTCTGCAGGGCCCACCTCCTGGCCCTGCACCTCCCAGGGTGACACAAGAAGGGCTGGAGCGATAGCACAGCGGGTAGGACATTAGTCTTGCACGCAGCTGACTTGGGTTCAATTTCCAGCATCCCATATGGTCCCCCTGAGCACTGCCAGGAGTAATTCCTGAGTGCAGAGCCAGGAGTAACCCCTGTGCATCACCAGGTGTGACCCAAAAAGAAAAAACTAAAAACCCAAATGACACAGAGAATGTCAAACGGGGTCTGCTCCCAGCTGGGGATTTCCTGACCCCCAGAGCAGCTGCCCTCCCACAAACCCCACCTGGCTGGGCTCTTTTGCATCTCCCCACCCAGGTAACCTTACAGTCAGGCGGACCCTCGCCCAAACACACAGAAGGCTGCAATGGGGGCTTGATTCTCTTCCTTTTAGGCCAAGGACAGGGCCTGGCCCTGTCTGGATGCAAACCCCAAACTTCTTCCAGAACCTAGGAATCCTCAACCCAGTTCCTAAATGGTCTTTGAATGGTCCTTGGTCCAAAGGCACAGTTTCCATCTTTTTTTCTGCAACAATGCATGGCTGAGGCTGCCTCCATCCAAAAGTCTCCCTGGACTACTCTGGGCCACGACCTCTGGCTCTTGATCACATGCTACACTGACAATTTGGCCAGTGAGACTCCAGGTCGCTGAGCATGAGGTCTGGGTGCCTCCAGTTCCCAGCAAGCAGCCAAGACAACCAGACAGCTCTGGGGCCACGCAAGGTGGGGAGAGAAGTCACAGTGTGGCATGTGCCCCGGGGGCACCAAACCCAGGTGGCACTGGGGACTTACCCAAAGGCTGGCCTTGGCCATGCTCTCTCTCCACCCACCCACCCCCACTGTGGACCACAATCCTGCAGGTCCCGCTCACCTCTTCCAGGATCCCTGATGCATCCTGCACCTGAGCCATGCCGCGGACATTCCACACGCAGGAGACGGTAGCAGGAGGAGAGAGTGCCAGGAGAGTCGCCGTGAGTGACAGGGAGTACTAGGCTGGGACCCAGCAGAGCCCAGCAGAGTGACCCACATGGTCACTCCCCACCCCCATCCCCAAGCAGGGACAAGCCCCATGGGCACAACACACAGTGCCTGTGAGGGAAGATTCCTGCAGGTTGAGGCCCAGGACCTGCCGGAAAGGCCCAAGCCCAAGTCTAGAGTCCAGATACCTCATAGGTGACTGGAGACAGGAGGGTGGAGGCAGGGACCAGCTCTAGGGTGCATGAGCTGATGAACTCAGGAGACGATAGGAAACCACCTGCATCCCTGGGAAACCACCTGCATCCCCAGGGATGAGGGGTGTAGACCCTCTGGGGTCTCCTGCCTGGGGACTGATGTCCAAACCCAGTGCAGAGGCCACGTCTCAAAGCCACAGCTGACTCTGGCAGAGGGGGTTTCCCAATTCTTTAGAGTTGGGGTGCCAGCAAGAGAGCCACATGTGAGAACTACTTGTTTCACAGTGACTGCCGGAGAAGGCAGGAGGCAGGCAGAAGGTCAGGGAGCCCCCGGATCTAGTAAAGAAACTGGGCAAGAGAGGAGTCAGGGCTGGGGGAATAATGGTGCATACCTGAGCTCTGGGAGCTGCAGCAGGCCTGGGGGGCTCTGGAGGGCTTGCCAGCACCCTGACACTGTGCTACCCTCAGAGTCAGAGGGACCCTGAGCATCAGCATGTCTGGCACCAGCTGGTGATTCTGACACTGCTGGGGGGACTACACAGTGTCTGGGCCGTGTCCACTACCTGCACCCTGGCTGCACCTCACAAGCCCAGGACCACTCCTGAGGCAGATGAGAGGCCTTAGAGCCACATGAGTGATGGACAGAAGCCCACCAGGGTGGGCTCACCCTGACAAGCACTTCACTAGAGTCTACGACTCTCAGATGCCTCAGCTGGGCAGGGACTGGGCCCCTCAAGCACCCACCTGGACCCTCCTCTACATGGAGGGAGGCAGGAGGAGGTAGCGGGTAATGTCTGTTGGTCACAGGTAGGGGGCAATGAGTTTGAAGGGAAAAAAAAGATAAAAGCAAGACATACCTCAAAACCAGGAATATGGTGGATGGCCGGCTAGAGAGAGAAAAAGAAAGCATTGTCAGTACTTGTCATCCAAAGCCCCCAACACCCTCCTTTCTGCCCTGGCCGGGCAAACAGCTTCCACAGTACGTGGAATATGGCAGAGACCAATCCGTGCAGGACGGCCCAACCCTCTTCCTCTTCTAGGGGGTGTCTGGGAGTGCCAGGGGGAAGCCAGGGGAGGGCAGCAGCTGTGGGTCCCTCCTCACATGACACACATGTCCCGCCTCTATCCGGCTTACATACAGGGTTTATGTAACACAATGAGCAGATTTGAAGTTAAACTTGCACTGAGTCCCTTTTTTTCTTTTTTTTGGAGGGGGGGTCACACCTGGCGATGCTCAGGGCTTTACTCCTGGCTCATGCACGCAGGAATTACTCCTGGCGGTGCTCAAGGGATTATATGAGATTCTGGGAATCGAACCCGGGTCGGCCACATGTAAGGCAAATGCCCTACCTGCTGTGCTATTGCTCCAGCCCCAGCCCCGAGCCCCCCTTTTTTTTAACAATGGGGCGTCCCTGGCTCAGAGTCACGTGGAACACTAGATTCAAAATGTGCCACCCTACCATAGCCTCCACAGACACCCCCAAACCCAATACAATCACCCCCCAACCCTGTCTTGACCACAGAGGGCCTCCTGCCAGAAACCACATCCAGGAGGACCCCAGAAAAACACAGCCAGTGGCTGGCCAGAGGTTCCAAAATGGCCAGTGCAGTCAGATTCCAACAACCAGGAACATCCCAGCCAGGAGGGCTCAGCAGAGACAGTGTGGGCAGAAGTGGCCCCTCCATGTCCCCTGCTGACAGTGGCCCCTGGTGGGAGGGAGCATGTTCCGGAAACCTCTCCTCTTCCTGGGGCAGCCTCTGCCCACCACATGTACCCATCCTGTGCGGCCAAGCCTGCCCTCCTGGATCAATAGCCACAGGAGCCAGCCTCACCTTCTTCCTCTGGATGAGCTCAAAGGAGGCCAGCAGCTCCCCAGCAGGCTGGCCACCCCTGGTGAGGGGGAACCAGGCCAGCCGGGGCATCCGATCGAGGCTTGGCTGACAGATGCAGCGTCCCAGAAACTCATCCGCACCCTACAGCGGGAGAAAGAAGGGTGAGCATCCCACACAGGGCTCAGCATGACCCAGAGCCATTTCCGGGTGGACAGTGAAGGTCTGGGTTTCAGGACAGGCCCTTTGGGCAGTGAGGAGCATGGCCCCATGGCAGGATGTGACGATGGGGTCAGGGCTGCGTCCCCAAGTGCAGACAAGCCACTTCATATCCCCCACAGGCAGTCACAGCTCTAACCTGGGGTGGTCATCCTCCTCATGCCCTCAGTTTTCCAGGGGGTGGACATGCCCCACAAGACCTTTGTATCACCTCTTCCTGTCACCTTCAAGTTCCTGCTTTCTTGTGTGTGTGGGCGGGGGGGGGGGGGGGGGAATGAGATCCTGTTCATCGAAGTAAACATGAAGGGGGTGTTTCCCTCTGCTTATTCCTGAGCTCCCCCTGCCTAAACAAAGTCCAAACTCTGTTCCAGGCACTGAAGACCTCCCTACATATCCCCTGCTCCATCCTGTTGGCTTCTGTCCACTGCACCTCACCACAGGGCTCTTTCCAGGGGCCGCTGCCTCTGGATCCTCAGATGTCTCTTAGGTCTGGGTTCCACTGCCGGGGGGAGGGGGACATGGGACAGGACCAGGCAGGATCCCAAGAGGACTCATGGCCCTGCTAGGGTCATTCTGAGGGACCTTCAGCTCCTGCATGGATTTCCACACTATCAAGTGACCATTAGCTTCTTCTACTCAGCCTAGACCCCAGCTCCAGCACAGGGAGGGGTCCAGAGACTCTTCCAGACCATTGTCCTATAGTTGCATCCTCAAGAGGCCATGGGGAGGATGTCCATGGAGACTCTGGGCAGAGCTGAGAGCCCTGGCAATTGGGCAGTGGGTGTGTGCCCACCAGAAGGGAAATCACTGGGCTTTACTCTCGGTGAGCAGTGGCCTCTGTGTGCCCCTGGATCCTGCAGCCTGCCCACTGGGCTTTCTCCTTCGGGGTCCTCCTGGGCCTCAGGTCCCAGAGAAGACACCAAGTCGGAACCATGCCGAGGAGACACTAGGGAGACAGAACTGGGCTTGCACCTGCCCCATCTAAACTTCCTGGCCCTCCTGCCCCAAAGTGCAGGTCCCATGCCTGGCCCTGAGCTGCCTGCTCACTGCTGAGCAGCTTTCCTTCAGGGAACACTCCACAGAGCCACACCGTCCATCACCAGGTACAGCCCAGCAACTGGAGGGCCACCCTAAATCCTGCTCCCTTTCTCTGGCCCCTGGCCACCACACGTCACACAGTGCCTGGCACCCAGTCATGGCAGTTGTCTGGAAACATCGCCAAACAACTGCCCACCCAGTTCATCACCCCACCCCCGCCCACAGGTCAGACCCACTGACACAGACCCTCCTCCAGGAGCACCCCCTCACTCCCCTCTTCCAGCAGCCTCATCCGCCTTTCTCCTTCACCCCATCTGTCTTCCTCACGCCTTGCCTCTGCTACCCTCAATCTCCCCCCGCCTTGTACCCTCCGCTGCTTGTCTCCTTCAAACACCCCAATCCCCCCTTCCCTCCATTATCTGGGTTTTCCCTACCTCCAGCTACACTCACAGTTCAGCCCAAGATCTCTCATCGCCCCCACCCACCCCTGCCCGTAGAACCTTCTAGAACTGCATTATGCAATATCAGAGGCCACTCGCTTCCTGTGCTGCTTAACACGTTGATGCTAGCACATACCACCTGTGCTCACACTTGACTGTGGTTTAACACAAACTGTGACACTGGCATCAACGTACTAAATGTGGGACATGGGTTAAAAGTGAACAACACGCAAAATTCTCCTCTCTGTTGCCTGGGTCACGTGTCAACTGCTCAGGATTCACAGCCAGGAAACGGGTCACACGTTGACAGCACTGAAGAGCGGTCCGTCACGGCAGGAAGCCCAGTCAGAGAGGACCTCCAAGCCACCGGGGTAACAACGGGCTACCTCCCCAGAGTCGCCATGGGTGATGTTCAGCCCCTCACCCTAGGGCAGAGCTTACTAGAAAGGAGCACGTAACAAATGTCTGTGGAGTCCCCCAGCTCACGATGCACCTGGGAACTTTTCTTTTTGTTTCAATTAAAATATTGTTGATTTGCTTTGGGTTTGCCCTGTGAAATGAAGTCCAACTTCCTAACTACATGTGTGAGCCTGACAAACCCACCCCCAGGTTCCAGCGCTGTTCCCAGGATTGGATTGGCCCCGTCTGCCCTGTCTATGGTCTGGGACCCCATATGCAAGGCAGAGGCCGAGAAAACCCAGGCTCCGGATCCACTGCCACATGCCTTTCCCTGGACTGTCCTCTCTCCCTGCCACAGCACTGCATGCTGGGTAACAATCCACATGGGATTACTCTAAAGTCGTTTAAACTGCTCCAGAGCTAACGTGGCCAGAGGACACCCGACACTGTCACAGGAGCGGGACCCACCCCCCAACGCAGGGGACAGGTGGGGAGGGATGAGGCACACAGACTCACATAGGTGTCGTGGTCATACAGCTCTACCACAATATTGGGCGGCTGCTCTGCCACACTGGCGGGCTCCCCAAAGATCTCAATCTCATAGAAGATGAGGGTCTGGTCCCAGGTGGGGTTCAGCGTGTTCTTCACCACTACTGTCTTCTGACTCTGGTGCAGGAAGGAGACGATGGCGTAGGGGTCTGCACAGGGGACAAGCAGCAGGGAAGAAGACAGGACACAGCAGCACGTGAGTCACTGAGTCAGGAGCCACCAGGCCCCAGAGCCACATCAGGGGTGAAGCTGCTGAGGAGACCTTCAGGGAGAAGCCCTGCACCCCAAGGCTCGCCCCCACCTTCCAGGAGGCCAGCTGGCCTGCAACCACAGCAACACGGAGCTGGGGTCCCCGTGATGGTCAGGAAGATCCAGATAGCAACTGTGTGTATATGTGTGGGTGGAGGAGGGTGTTCCTTCTTGGGATGGATACCAGAGGCCAAGTCCAGCTGGATGGATCATTTATTCCTTCATACCTTCATCCAGAAAGCACTTACTGAGTGCTTACCGCATGCCAGCCCAGGGGAAAGGAGCTGAGAATATCTTTGACACAAGACTCCATGCATGTAAGTGTAAAATCACCACTGAAGGCTAGATAGAAGGCACCAGGGAGTTTGTGAGGGCAAGAGAACACAGCACAGACATGAGGCATCAGACAGGTCCATCTGGGTCTGCGAACTCACACTGGCTGCAAAACACACTGGGGCAGGGTGGTACAGTGGTTAGGGCACATGGTAGGTAGGTGTCCGGTCCTGATTGGATCCCCTGCACCACATGGTCTGACAAGCATCACAGGGCATGATGCTGGAGGTCCCCTGAGCAACACAGGACCCAAGTAATGCCATATCTTCAGGCCCAGGCATTGAATTTCAGCCATATTGACCACAAATCACCAGGAGTAGATCCCAAGGCTCCTGAGCACTGCTTGAGTTTCCCCACCTCCCACCCCCCCAAAAAAAAAGGTGGCTGGAGTGGGCAGAAGTCAATACATGGAATCCAACTGTGAGGTTACTCAACAATCCAGGCCAAGATGCTGGTGGCCTACATGGACACAGAGCACCAGAGAGAAGCACATGGACTCGAGCTGAGGGGCAGTGGGTGGTGTGGGAGGAACCCTCTCTGCTGAGGCCCCCCTAACCCTCTCTGCTTCCCCCAAACCACTCTCCAGCCTGCCAGCTCTGCCCCCAGCATCCACAAGTCATTCCATGTACTTCACCTCCAAGGGACACTGGAGTCACTGGAGAAGGTTCTAGAGTAGATTCTCATGTGGAAGCATGCAGGAGTCACCTGGAACACTTACACAGACTCCAGTCCCTCCTCTTCCCCCTTCCCCCACCCCTGCAAAGTGAGATTCAGCAGGTCAGAACTGGCCTGAATGCCTGCATCTCTAGCTAGTTTCCAGGTAACACGGAGACTGCCTCCTGGAGCCAGACTCTGGAAAGTGGCGTGGGAGGAACTGCTCTGAGACTGGGTACTGACACCAGGAGAGAGACAAAGCCGTCTGCTCCCACAGGGAAGCTGCCTGGGGACAGGCTCTGGCTCGCTGCCCTTTCCTAAGCTCCCAAGAAGCCAAGGGCCCTGGGCCGGGAAGCTCTGCTCCATGCTAATGGTTCTAGGAGGGCTGACCCCTTGGTTGTCGGCCACTATGGTGCCTTTACTTCCTCTGCATCTCCCAGGTGTAGCCCTGTGGCTGCCCTCACCTTATCACCTTGAGGAAGCCTTGGCACAAGCAGGCAGGTCCACCTCAACATGGGGCTGGGGGTGGGGGAAGAAACCCCCCCCAAGAGGAAAAAGGAGTCGGACAGCTCCCTGCCTGCTAGGAAAGCCAAGGGGGCCCACCGGCCCCCTGTGCAGGAGGAGGACAAGTTAAGAGGTGTGAGGGGAGCAGTGAACAGAGGGAAGGTCACTCTTGAAGGATGGGGGCCCGAGATTCCAAGTTTTGGGGTGAGGGGATCTATGGGAGGTGGGAGAAGCGTGGGCAACGTTGAGCTTAGCTAACACCCCCCCACCACCACCACCACCCCAGCCCTGTGCATCAGCCTCCCAGTACAAAAGCACATGGGCTGGGTGGACCCTGGATGGCTCCTTCCTGGAAACTGGGCTCAATGCTGATTCTTCGGAGTCAACAGGGGCACTGCGGGACCTTTGTTCAAAGAAGGGGCTGGGGCGATGTGCTCAGCATGTCTGCCCCGCTCTGTGCCTGTTGGAAGCATCCCTGGCATGGGGCTCCCCTTCCATGCACCCGCCCAGGCAGGGCTGGCCCCGATCCCTTCCCCTCCTGCCCCTGGCAGGGCCCAGCGGCGTCTGTGCGTTTAATGAAACCGTCTGGCTGTGATACCATCAGCTCCAAGCGCGGCCGAGAACCTCTTGCTGGTTCCAGTAAGGAAGAGAGGGCGCGTTCCGATAAATAAAACCATATTAGAGAGCCCGCGAAAAAGCCCCTTTTGTTCCCGCCCCCCGTGCTTCCCAAACGCTTTATTTTTATAAGCGCTCGGGCCCCAGGCCGACCGCGTTTACACAAAGATCACAATTGCACATTGTAGCGGCCTTGCACGCCGTATTGGTGTTGGCAGCACCCCCCACACTGGCCCCCCGAGCCGGCTGACTCCTTCCAGCAACCCCATCAGCTCAGGCAATGAGCTCAGCGCTGGGGACAGAGAGGGGGGTGGCGTTCAAACAAAACTCACCCAGACCGCCCCCCCACAACACACACACACACACACACACACACACACACACACACACACACACACGCCCCGCCCGCCCAGGAGAGGAAAACACACAACAAAGGCATTGTAAAGAGCAGGTCTGGACGCCCCGGGCTGCAGACACTGGGCTACTGTGTGCTGGGGCCTGGCCTCTCCCCGCTGAGCCCCTCAAAAAAAAAAAAGAAAAGAAAAGGAAAGGGGGAAGGGTTGGGGTGCTGCAGCAAGGTGGTCGGAAGGAAGAAAGCCAGACACACAGACACACTGACACACCCCTCATCAGGAAAGAGCCAGGGGCAGAGGATTTCCAAGGAGAGGAGGAGGTGAAAAGGCTCACTCTAGCCTGTCCCTGCCCACCTGGGGCTCTCTCAGGATCCCCCCCACAGAGGGGTAGCATCAGCCCCCCCCCAGGTCTCCCCTTCCACACCCTCTGGAACCCCTGAGGCAGACGGGGGCTCGACTGGTACCCCCATTAAGAGCACCAGCTGTGCTTGGTGGGGGAGTGGGGGATTGCACGCAGCTGGGAACACACACACTGTCTGCCACCCCTTCCCCGTCACCCCTCCGCAGCCCCAAGCAGTCGAGTCTTTAGCTGGACCTGGAGATTGCACATGGGCTGTCCAGCTTGAGCTCTGCTGCTCAGGTCCTTCTAGAACTCCAGGGAGGAGTTCTTGGCTTCTTCATTTGTCGTCTCTGAGCCTTCTCCCCTGCCGGTTCAGATAACCAGTGAGGAACATCATCACCAACCCTTTCCTGGCCCTAAGAGTGAAGTCACCGGCCCACACTAACACAAAGCTGGGAAGGCCACCTTCAGACTCCCAGCTCAGTGCTCCCTCTCCCTGCTGTGGCTGGGGAAAGGACCCTGGATGGGAGGCAGGCAAGAGCAAGTCAGCAAAACAAGGCAAATGAAAAGTTTAATGCAGCAATATTTTTCCTATAAAATTAAAAAAAAAATGTTTCGAAGTATAAAACCCAGTGTTGGCAAATATTTGATGAAAGAAGTACTCTCCTTTATTGCTGGAAGCAATTCAGCAAGCTTTCAGGAAAGCAATTGGGCAGGATGCCCCGAAAAACACAGAACTGTTTAAACCCCGTTTCCCATATTGTTGGGCATCGGCCAAATGGACCACAAAGCTTTAGGTGCGCCGATGCTCGTGGCAGCCTCTGTGAGGCATCTTCATTCCATCACAGTGACTGGCGGGCATGGGGGCAGATGAGCACAGGGCCGGGGAGACCAAGTATTTGCATTCTTTGATTCTAGGGATGGAACTGCTGTGCCGCGGAGCCACGTGCAGGAAGATGAATGAGGCACACTCTGCGTTCCGAAGATCACGAGCATGGGTGGTAAGGGAACACAACCAGCTCTAAGCAACGTGGCTCGTGCAACTTAATAAAGGGGTGGGCAAGGCACCAGGGGGGTGGGGGGAGCTCAAATCCAATGAGTGTCTAGGATGAGGCAGGAACCAGGCAGGAAAGGACTTAAGGCACTGTGCAGGGCGCCTTAAAAACCACCAAGAAATCTGGGTCCATGAGGTACAGTCCGTGGTTGGAGGCTGCTTGGGAGAGGACAGGGCCATCGGGGGGAAGGAGGGGTGTGGAGGGAAGACCCCAAAGTTCCCAGATTCTGTGGAGCTATCTCCACTGCAGCTTGTACACCAGCTTCCTCCCATTCTCCCAGGAGCTAACATGGGGGGTCCTTGCCCCAGACCCCCTCCAGGCACTGGAGCCCATGGTGGCTGGATTCCGGCGTTCCCGTCTCTGCCTCAGGAACCCTCTTTAAGTGGAGCGTTTCACAAGCCTCCAGAGCACTTTGGAAAACAGCTCCTTAAGCTCCTGGGGAGAAGTCCCCACCCCCACCCCTGCCCTAAGCCAAGTGAACACAAAGCTGGGCTTCAATCGCGGGGGTGGGGCAGGACCCGAGTCCAGACAGAGGAAGCCCTAACGCAAGAGTTCCCAAACTCCTCCCAGGACCCAGTCTGGATCTGGGGAAACCAAATCACCACACCGCAGCGTGACCTCAGCCAGGGAGGCAGCCAGGGGGCATCAAGCCTCAGCCCTGGCCTCCCAGGAGCCAGGAGGCCAGCAGAAAGGGCAGAGGGCCTGCTTTCTGGACAAACCAGCTCGTCGCCGTAAAGGAATCCGCTTCTTGCTGGCCTCCAAACCATCTCTCTTTGGCTTGGTTAGCCAAAGCAACAGGGAGTTTCCGGAGGCGGGGGGGGGGGGGGGGGGGGGGGGGGGGCTAGAGAACAACCTTGGGTGCAATGGTGGTGGCCCTGGAAGCAGAGCTGTGCCCCCCGTCCCAGCACTGTTGCGGTGGTTCTGGGGTGAAGGGCAAGTTCCCCAGGAGCAGTGAGAGAGAGCCGGTGATGGCGGCCCTGCAGACTGCTCCACCCCGACTGACGCCCTCGGAGAACTCAGACTGCACTCCGCTCAGACCAGCGTTGTTTGGGGCCCCGGGACACCCACGCCCTCTCTCATCTCACCTTTCCATTCAGAGCAAACGCAGGGCATGTTCCTGACCTGACGCCTCCGGGCAGGGACAAACAACCCCACCCACATGAAAGAGAGTCGTTTGAGGGAAGTCCCACTGCACGGTCCTTATGCCAGATCACACGCCCTTCCTGGGGTCCCAAGAATAGACCTAGGTGGTGATATCCCCAACCCTCCCCTTCCCGACCAAGTCTGGTACTATTCAGCGAGTCCCGCGCAATTCCTGAGCATCCCTCCAAATCCTCATCCGTGGAGAATGAAGACACCTGAGAGGAACAGTCCACCTCATGGGCCAGGGCTGGGCGCCTGTCCCAGGCCCACCCACTCCCCTGAGTTGCTTCGCGAGGGGAGCCCTTGAGGTCACAGCCAGGGGCAGGCGGGCCGGGAGCGGATGGAGTCTCTGTTGTGGGCCTGCCCTGGTCCCAGACGGTCCGGATTCACACAGGAGTTTCCTCCCAGAAATGTCTGCCGGTGGTGGCCAGGCACAGCCTCCGGCCGCCAGCCACCCCGAGGTCAGTTCCAGGGGAGAAACTGCTTTGGTTTAGGGTTTGGGAGTGAAAATAAACACTCTGGGTTTGATAGGTTCACCCGTGTTGGCGGCTGTTTTCCTTTCCAGCAGCTGCTCAATCAGCCCTTTCATTCAGAAGCCCGCGGTCTCAGAGGAAGCCCTGGGCAGTGCCCTCAAAGCTCCAGGGATGTTTATTTGGAGGAGGGGGTGGGGCCAGCATGGAAAGTGTGACTCTCCACAGGTCAGACCAGCCCGACCTGCTGCAGTCCCCGAGAGGCAGCGGCCCCGGGTGGGCGTCCTCTGCTGGCAGGGTCCCCGGCTAGCCTTGCCCACAGAAGGCGCAGGTCTTGCACCTGGCCTGCTCCTTACCACCCACCTCACAGAGCTGCCACCTGCACGCTCACCTCTCCACCCTCCCTGCAGGCGGTTCTGGCTGCACTGACTTCTTTTTCCCTCCGGACGCATTCCCATTATCAGAAAACATCCTGGAAACTGCCCAGAAAGCTGTGGCCCCAGTCGAATAATCCCTGTGTACTAGGGTCTGCAGGGATTGGCAGAGGACGCACTCGGGGCCAGGGGCCCCAAGCACAGGAGTGAAACTGCCCCCTTGGGGAGGACTAGGAGGCAAGGAACTCAGGGACAAGAGCCAAGGGGGTCGGAGAGAGATAATGAAAGGAAGGTGCTTGCCTTGCACGCAGCAGAGCCTGGTTCAATCCCCAGCACCCCATAATGGGGTCTCCTGAGCACCACCAGGAGTGATCCCTGAGCACAGAGCCAGGAGTCAGCTCTGAGTATCTCCGGGTGTGGCCCAACCCCTCAAAAATGCCCTCAAAGAGAGAGAGAGAGAGAGAAGAGAGAGAGAGAGAGAGAGAGAGAGAGAGAGAGAGCTGTTGGGGAGGAAGAACAGGGGGCTCCTCCCTCAGGGCGGCACCTGGGAAGAAGCCCCAGGTGCAGTGTTGTCAGCTGCAGTGCATTTAGGGACCAGCAGGTCACAGGTCCCAAAATGACTCAAGTAAAAGGGCCAGGGTTTAGAGCAAGTGTGCCACTTCTCGACTATGGCAACTATGCAAGCAACCTGGCTAACCGGAGTCCCAGTTTTTCCGTATCAGTGAAAGGGGGAGAAAGCTAAATCCCTACTTCATAGGGGGTGGAATAAAAGGGGGCAGGAAATGATGTCGGTTACGTTCCTAGATGCAGAGCGAGCCCCTGATTTTAGCTCTTTCCGGTTGGGTATTCCGGGTACACAGGAAGACAAAGCCTCTTCCCGAAGGAACTCGGTGGGATGGTGGACAGAGGTGGCAGAGGCAGGAGCTGAGTGGTTTGGGACACAGGGGTTCTGACCCAGGAGGGTGGCCACAGGCTGGGACCAAGCAGCTCAGATCCAGCAGTCAGAGGGCGTCTGAGCTGCATTTCCAAGGACAGGTGGGAACTCACTAGGTCAAACATAAGGATGGAAGGACAGGGAAATAGCGCAGCAATTAGAGTTTTGTTTGTGGCTGACTCAGGTTCGAGTCCCGGCACCACTTGAACAGGCACAGCCCTGGAGGCTCCCGGCAGTGAAGGATCCTCAGTGGCCCAGGTATCCCCAGTGTAGCTGAGCCTGAGCAAAGCACATCTTCAAGCCTTGCGCTAAACTGTCGGACTGAAGCGGCCGAGAATCTCACTGATGGGGTCCCTAGACCACCTGAGTACTGCCTAGGAACCCCTAACAAAAAGGAAAAAAGAAAGAGGGAAGTAACATATGTGAGAACCCTGGTGCAAAGACAAGGACCGTAGAAGGGCCCGGAAATGGGGTCATCTAAGTCGGTAGGACCAGAGGGAACAGATTGAAAGGCGTTTGGAGGGAATGAAACCAGGAGGGTCCCCTGGACTGAGCACCAAGCAGCTCCTGCCAGGCTGAGGAAGTGGAATCTGTCAGGGTCCACACCTGAAACTGGGGCTGATGTCACCGGCTCTGTGGGGGTGGAGGGGGGGGAAGAGTGGAAGGCAGTAGGGAGGGCAGGAGAAGAGAGACAAGGCCAGGGTTGGCCCCATGAGCTGAAGAGGAGGAGGAGGGAATGACTCTGAGAGATTCATCAGATTCGGGCAGCCCCCGCCACGGTGAGGTGGGAGATGGGGAGGAGCCCTGAAGTGGGGTCTGGGGATTGGGGCGCAGACACGAGCAATTTGGTCATAGATAATGGACCAAAGAGCCCCTGAGGCATCCAAAGGAAACACCAAATATGTGACTGGACATGAGGGACCCCTAATGAGTTAGCTCTAACTAACTAATCATGACTGTGCATCCTCACTGAAGGTGGGGGTGGGGACCCCAGGGTCCAGAGAGTAATAAGCAGTCAGTCCCAGAGAGAGGAAACCAAGGCCAGAGGGGTCAAGCCAAGGGGGCTTTTAGGAGTGGGGGCATAGTCAAGTCAACTAGGCAGAGAGGTCTAGAAAGACCCCTTGACAACCAGAGACCCCAGAAGCCCATATGTACCTCAAGAGGACCCAGCCCACACAGGCCCCAGGAGCCCATACACAGCCGCACCCCTACAGGACCCAGCAAAAACAGGCCCTGGGAGCCCATACATAGCCGCACCCCTACAGGACCCAGCACAGACAGCCCCTACCCCACCCCTGTCACAGAAGCCCCACCCAGGCCACCTTCCAAGCTCTCCATGCATGTCCCCCACGTCACACAGACACCCATTCCACCTACCAGAGAAAGAGTCCTTGTCCATGGCAGGCAGGTCTCGGGCCTGGTACATGTAGCAGCGGAGATGGTAGCGGTTCCCATCTGTGTGAGGGAGCGAAAGAGCGCGCAGATGAGGTGAGAGAGGAGGGCGGGGCCACCCACAGGATAGCAGAAAGGACACACACCTCGCGGTGCGGGACAGCTGCCATTGGAAGAGGGCAGACCCAGTGCTACGTCCCAGGGTCAGGAAGAGCAAAGAAGGCGAGGATGGTAGGGACAGTTAGAGTGTGCCCAGCCTGAAACTACCCATCACAAGCTTAATCAGATGCACAGACCACACAGAAATGGGCACACAGACATAAATACACATGCGTACACATAAGATGCTTATACATACACACATGGATAGGGTACATTACACACATATGTGAACGTACATACATGGAAGCACATATGTGTATGGTACATGCATACATACAAGACACATGCATTTGAATTTTCATGCACATTAATGCATAAAGACATTTTCATGCAAGACATATGTATGTGCATATGCATGTGTAGACGCACATCCACACATAAACATATATGTGGATGAGACATATGCATTGTGCATATATATCTCCAGGTGGCAAACATAAACACATATGTGTAAGACAGTGTACATACATGCACCTATACATCCGCATTAATACAAGTCTATAAGGCACATACATGTGTGTATACATATGCATTTACACTTTAAAAACACATGTACAAGACACATATCCATTTACACACATGCATGCACTTATACACATACCCACATTCACACCACTGGCTGAGCTCTCCTCTGTCATCCCGCACACACCTGACCATACACCCCACACAGACGTGTCAGGTTCACATGGGCTCACCCAGCCCTCCCAGCCTCACTCACAGTCAAAGATGCAGGAAATCGTAGGTCTATTCACACCGAAGCTCAGGGTGGAGACAGACATGGAATCTTCACTCCTGTCATCCACCATGCCCCCCTGCAGATAAAAAAGCTTGTCAAATCCTGTTCTCAGAGCCTGGGAGGGCAAGGAGAAGGCCCCAAAGCTCAGGCACCCCCCCGACCCCCAGCAGGAGCCCTTTAGACAGTGGTCCTCAGCTGCTGATCTCTGGGCCATCTGCCTTGTGTCTCAGTCAAAGGTGCGCTTCCGCTGGAGAGGTAATACAGTGGGGAGGGCGCTGACCTTGCATGAAACTGATTTGGTTCGATCTCTGACCCCACCTATAGTCCCCCGAGCCCTGACAGAAGTGATGCTTAAGCACAAAGCCAGGCATAAGACCTGTGGCCCCAAAACCAAACCCAAAAGAAAGGATCCCTTTCTCTCCTCCAGCACCCCAGGCCCTAACTACAGTTGAGCCAGAGAAAATCTCCTGTTGAGGGAGACCAGTGTCGCCAGAATGGTAGCTGGAGTGACCCCATCCCTGGGAGGCTGGAGTGTGATAGCAGGAAGGACTCTCCAGGGCTCTCTGGGGGACAGTTCCGTGTGTCAGCCCACCACAGCTGCTGAGGGGGATCCAAAGCCCCAAAGAGCCTGTTGAGCATTTCGGTCAGCCCATGCAAATCCGGAAATGGGGCTGGTGCCAAGGGCACACAGAGCCGGTCATGGGGCCCAGCTCCGGCAGAGACTGCCATGCCCCGGCTCCCACACTCATCCTAGTGACAAGACGAGGGCCCAGCTGTAGCCAGGGGCAACTGCCTCACTGTAGTGGACTTTGGTAGGGGGAGCCAACACACGGCCTACACTCATGAGACCCCACACCCATGAGACCCCACACTCAGTAGGGGTACTTCTCGACCTCTGACCCCTCTTCACCAGGGAGATCAGCAACCCCCCATCCCAACCTGACATCTCCATAGCGCTAGGCCCAGACTGACCCTAGAATGATAGGAAGAGTAAGAGGAGGTGTGGGTTGACTGATGGTAGGGCTTTGGCGGAGTGGAGCAGAATGGAGGAGGGTCCCAGAAGAGCCTCTTAAAAGAGGCTTCCAGGGCTGGAGCAACAGCACAGCAGGTAGGGCTTTTGCCTTACACCAGCCAACCCAGGTTGGATTCCCAGCATCCCATATGGTCCCCTGAGCACCACCAGGGGTAATTCCTGAGTGCAAAGCCAGGAGTAACACCTGTGCATCGCCGGGTGTGACCCAAAAAGAAAAAAAAAGGCTCCCAGGAGGTCTTCCTGGAAGAGAGGGACTAAGACAGCACACTCATGCTCACCCCGGTAGTGGGGGAGGATCATCTTAGCAGGTGTGGGGGGGAAGGGATTGAGGGGGATAGGCTTCCCTCAGAGTCCTGGGCAGAGTCAGGCTGCAGGAAACTGATGCCCCTGTGCTCAGCCACCCACTTTTCACCCTCCCCTCCCCCCACTTCGCCCGCACACTCTGCCCCAGCCCCAGGGCCAGGCCCGGGGCATTGAGTTTCCCACAGACACATTCCTGCCTCCCTAGCTCATGCCAATGCATTCGCCCGGGCCAGGGCTGGCAGGCGCAGTCTACAGCCACGCACTCGTTTGGGGACCAGCCTGTAAGGGATCCCGCTGCTCACCCAGGGACTGGGCCTTCTCCAACCCACGGCTGCCCGGCGGCCAGCCACAGAGGCTTCCCAGAGGGGCCTTGAGCCTGGGACTCAAAGGAACCTTCCTTCTCTGGAAGGAACCTTCTCCTTCCTCCCCTGGGGCTCCCCTGCCCTCCGGAGTTTGGTAGAAGGTTCTGGGAGAACCAGCAGCTGGGAGGAACACTCCTCAATCCATCTCAATTGGACCCAGAAACAGGAGCCAATTTGGGGTTCTTCTGTTCCACCGTTTGCAGAACACACACACACACACACACACACACACACACACACACACACACACACACACCCCTTGAGCCAGGGTCTGGTTCGGGATCTGTGAAACTGAGACAGGACAGAGGCAGCAGGAGAGCAGCGAGCAGAGCCAGGCTGACAGTGGGGGCCAGGGAGAGCACAACAGAGACCCCCAAGGCCTCTCAGGGGTCAGCAGGGTCCCACTTTCTGGGCCAACAAGCAGCCTGGCCAACAAGCAGCAGTGGGGCTCAGCTCCTTCCTCGAGTTACAGGGAGCATGCCAGCCTGTGTATGATGACCCAGGATCCCCCCTCCCCCATCTCTGACATATCAGTCACAGAATCAGGGGAACTCTAGGACCTGCCTGGGTTGCACTGACGTGGCCCCAAGAGCAGGTCATGAAATTCTTTGGTCTTTGTGCAAGCTGGTTGTGAAACAGCCATTTGCAGAAATAAAAATGTCATCAATTCTTTTTTCCTTTTGGGGGCGACCACACTTGGTGATGTTCAGGGGTTCCTCCTAGCTCTGCACTCAGGAATTACTCCTGGCGGTGCTCAGGGGACCAATGAGATGCCGGGGATCGAATCCAGGTCGTCCACATGAGAGGCAAGTGCCCTCCCCACTGTTACTATGGCTCCAGTCCACTGTTATCAATTCTTAACAACAAATTCTGTCAAGAAACCAGGACAATGTGCACTCATGTTCCTAGGGTCCTGGTCACATTGCTGCCTTTGTCCTTCTGGCCCTGTATCCCATATCTCAATGCCACAACGTAGACAGTGCCCACTTCCTGTTTCTTCCCATTCAGGGACGCCAGCGTGAAACTGGCCATGAGGGCAGAATGAGTGCCAGGAAATCAGCAAACACAAACTGTCCTCCGATTGTTCATCCATTTGCTCTAGCGGGCCCAGTAACGTCTCTATTTTGAGACTTGTTGCTACTGTGTTTGGCATATTGAATACGTCACGGGTGAGATACTCTCAAGCTTGCCAGGCTCTCAGAGAGGGGTGGAAGAATCGAACCTGGCTCGGCCGGGCTGGCTGCACGCAAGGCAAACACCCTACCACTGTGCTATCTCTCCAGCCCCATCAGCAGAGGCCACAAAGTAGGCTCTGCAGAGTGGGAGTTCTTCCTGAGCGGGCCAAGTTGAATATCCACCAGCACAGGACCGCTCCCCTGGCCTCGGAGCCTGACTCCCTTCTCTTCTTACTCGGCTTTGCGAGGACATCCAGATAGCACGCGCAGGGCTGAAGGTTGCGGACTCTACGCAGCCCCACTTTTATGCTGCTTTGGGGGTTTCATGGGCTCTCTGTTGCTTTTTTGTTTGTTTGTTTTGATTGTCAGGGATTAAACCCAAGGCTTCACCTAGGCAAGGCAAATGCTTTGATACACTTGATACACACTCTTCCTAGATGCTCATACGAGGAAACTCACAGTCACAGTCACGGTCCTCCCATTGTTCATCAATTTGCTCGAGTGGGCCCAGTAACGTCTCCTTCGTGAGACTTGTTACTGTGTTTGGCATATTGAATACGTCACGGGTAGCTTGCCAGGCTCTGCCGTGCGGGCAAGATACTCTCGGTAGCTTGCCGGGCCCTTCGAGAGGGGCGGAGGAATCGAACTCGGGTCGGCCATGTTGGCTGCGTGCAAGGCAAACGCCCTACTGCTGTGCTATCGCTCCAGCCCACGAGGAAACTTAGCCAGAAGAATATTTACTTTTCTTCTTGGTGCCTCCGTTTACTTATCTACAAAATAGAGAAACTCACAGACCTGGGCGGGTTAAGTGAGAGCTTGTACAGACAGAGAAGACTGCCCGACCGAGTCAAGTGCTCTAAGTTAGACCTGAGGTTGGCAGGCTTGGTCCACACAAGCCGGATGGGATGCATCTGCCTTTACTGGTCCGATCGTCTGTGTGGTGACTACTCAGCTGCCATCCGTTATGGCAAGACAATGAGAGAGGAGCAGGACAGTGACCCCACCACGCCTCCAGCAATGAGCCTGGCTCCTGGCCAGCACAGCCTGAGTCACATAAACAAGCTGTGAGCTGGCCTTGGCCTGGACAGCAGTGATTTACCCTACGGAGGTGGGGTTATTATTTCTGCTGTGCTGTTATCACCCACCTCTGATAAGTGAAAACACAGGGGCCCAGAGAGGTTAATATCTTCCCAGGGGTGGCACAACTAGCTGGCAGAGCCACGGGTCCCTCAGCCTCAACCCAGCCTCCTCTTTCCCATCAGAACTCAAGATTCGAGCAGGGCCCTGGGGCGGGCACAGTCCGGCCTGCCAAGACTCGAGGACCGAGGGGCCTGGAGAGCCCGGGCCGGTGTCTTCCCCGGCCTCAGAAAGCCCACACAAGGCTCTGCTGTGTCTTTTTGGCGCAGCCAACGGAGGAGAGCCCTTGAAACGCGGCAGCTTTGGAGCGCACAGCCCTGCTTGCTAATCAGGGCTGATTGCAGCCTTGAGTGGAATAGCAGGCGCGGGCAGCCTCACTTCATTAGCGCCGGAGCCAGGGCTTGGAAGCAGCTGCTAGACTCCTTGCAAAACGCCTGACGGGCCTGGGGAGCGAAGCAGGCACTCAGGAAACCTGGAGACTCCTCATGCCACAAGGGGGCTGGCGCAGCTGTGTGTGCGTGCATGTGTGTGCGTGCATGCATGTGTGTGCATATGTGTGTGTGTGTGTGTGTGTTGCTGTAGTTCCTATGTGGAGGAGGCAGGGAGGCTGGGGCAACCTTTACCCCAGGCCTGAGTGCCTCTAGAAGGAGGGTAAGTGTGTCCTGGGTTGCACACCTTGGCCCCCTAAGGCGGCATTCAAGTTCGCCCTATAAAGATGAAGGCAGACCCTCTACATGCACAGAGACACACGCATTTCTCAGCGTTCCTGCAGCTATGTGCCAACCCTCCGTCTCAGGTACCCCCATCAACCTCCACACCTTGGTCACCACCACCAGAGCAGTATAGTCTTAGGGTCCACACCTTCAGAGGACCCACCTCAGCAATCTTCCCATGGAGGGTACAGGAGGCAGGGAAGACAGCCCAGAGAGAGGTGTTACAGAACAGGTCAGAACAGGTGTCAGTGGAGAACAGGTGTTCAACCCGTATATTCAAGAAACAGAGTCTAGGGCACAGAGAGCCGCCTCCCAGTGGACGCCATTCAGGGCCAGTGGGGCTGGGTCAGCAA